ATTTTTATCTTTAAAAAGACCATTTTACCGTTTTAACTGTTAAATTAAACAATTTTCTATCAATTTAAGAGTGAGAATATAAAATTTATGAAACCATGGGTGGAGACAGGAGATTCACCAAACCTTAGGTGGGAAAATGTCGTTTACTCAGTAAACCATATTTTAAGCAACCGTACTAAAAAGAAACGTGGAACTTATTTGTTAAACTGATATTATGTGATTATGTCCTGGAACATAAAGAAAATTATTCATAAGCAATAAGTTTTCTAGATTTGATAGCTAGTAAACAATTATTAAAAGGATCCAGGCACGTTTATCTTAAGCCAAAACCAAAAGAACTTAATTAATTCATTAAGTTCATTAATTTAGAAACGTGTATTTCATTCCATCATTCATTATTTTGCAGGTAACGAATAGGGTACATAACGTAAGAGTGTCCATTTGCGAGATTCTACTATAAGTTCTATCCATATATATTCTTATCGCCAACTCATACATACCAGATCCAGTTGCATTGATTTCACCTTTTTTTTTCTTTTTTCTTTTTTTTTTTTGGGGGGTTTCCAAAGTAAATCTCATCTGTTGGTACTATTCTGAGTGAACTTTTACCCATAATTTATCAAATTTGTTTGATATAATAAAATTATAACACCCTTTTTATAGGATTCCCAATAGATAGATACATATATATTAGATAAATGTTGATATTTAGCTAGTTAAGTCGTATGATACTTTCAATATATATATAATACAAGGAGTTATGAAATCAATTGTAGAAAATATGGCAAAGTAACTGCAAGCAAAAGATTTGCCGAGAGTCTAGATGGACAAGGAAATTAATAGGCTTTAATTAATTAGTAATATTAGATGTACAAAAAAATTGAACAACAAATTCGAGATAAGCTTCTCAAATTCATCATATATATATAGAGAGAGAGAGAGTAATTTGACGTAGTACGTAAACAACATAACACAAAATTAAAAAAAAAAAAACGTTTAATGTTCTTTAACATAAATAGATATGAATAACACAATTCACCATTAAAAAATATAAAACAGTAAACTTATAAAACGTTTGTATCACAATAATTTTTTTTTTTTTGGTCCTTAGGATGTTTGAAAGCCTGTGAAATTCTACATGATAACTTTTAATATGTCAAATGTTGTATTAAATTTTCAAAATCGATAATTGATCAGAAATACACGTGAAATTTGACAATGGTGGGTTATCACGGATGAAGTAACACGTGGCAAAGACTAATACCAATTGTTTTGAAAATCCTATATCATCTACGAATAATACTACACATACATCATTCTCATACAACATTTCGCATACAATATTATGTACTACATGTATATGAATGATTTCGTGAGTTTGATTAGGGATGTAAAAACCCTGGCCCCGGATCAGGCTTGCTTGGGCCCGGCCCAGGTTTTTTCTGGGTTTACTCGGGCTTGAAGCCCGTGTTTATTTGATATGATATGATTAGAGCGTTTTTTTAAATTTTACTGTATAGGTGGGGCTTGGAGTTATTATATAGGGGGTTAATAAATTTTTACATTGTAAAAATTTATGGAGGCTTTTTTTTTTTAACTTTTCAGAGGGCTTTCTGTAATATTTTAGGGGATTTTAATAATTTTATAGAAGAGTATATGTAAATTTAGAACACTTCTTAATTTGCCCAGGTCGAGCTTTCTATCAGAACTAGGCCCAGCCCGGGGTATGATATTCCAGGCCCTAGTTCGAGAATAGTCTAGGCCCGGGTGTTATATACATCCAAGACAAGCCAAACATGGGCCTTGCCACCCCAAGCCTGGGTCGGGTTTTTTACATCCCAACTAGGGGTGTAGCCAAGCCGAGTCGTTCTCGAATGGCTAGGGCTCAAGTTTGGTCGAGCCAAGCTCAAGCTCGAGCTACTCAAGTGCCTTTTCGAGCCGAGCCCGAGCCACCCAATGCTCGGCTCGATAGGCTCGTGAGCCTCCATGGCTCGAAAGGGTATGAGTGTAAGTTTTTTAAATATAAGGTGTAAGTTTTTCAAGTATAAGGGTGTCTATGTAATTTATTATTTTACATATAAATTGTTTATTCTAAAAACCCTAACACATTTTTCACACAACCGCACTTCTTCCCTTTCTTTTTTGTTTTCTTTCTTCTCCTTTCCATACAGCCGCACTTCTTCTCCTTTCTTTTCTCTTTCCTTTTTCTTTTCCTTTCCATCTTCTTTCCTTTCCTTTCTCTTCTTCTTCTTTCCTTTAGCTCTTCTACCTCAAATCTATGGCATTACAAATCTTGTCTCACTCTCCCTTCTCCAAGCTGTGTTTTCTTCTTAAAAAATGAGGTTGTTGCTTTGACATTACGTTAAGGTTTTGAAGAATCTAGTGGGTTGGCTTGGATTTTTTTTTTTTTTTTTTTTTTTTTTTTTTTTTTTTTTTTTTAAAGATTATTGGTTGGTTGCTTTGGATTAAAGCTTGTTAAACGAGCCGAGCTTCGAGCTCAACAAATCATCTCGAGTCGAGCTTCGAGCTTGGTTTCTAGAACTCGTCGAACCCAAGCTCAAGCTCGAGTTCGTTAAATTTTCTCAAGCTGAGTGTCAAGTCCTATAGTGTTCGGCTCGGCTCGGTTCATATACACCCCTAATCCCAATTGTTTCATCCATTATGTAACTTTAGTAGTGGAGTATTAATCATACAGTTTTCATCCTTTGAATATCCATTTAATAAAACATGTAAAAAATTATCATCCTAAGGGTCTGCTTAAGAGTTTTTTTTCAATGGTTTTGAGGGATTTTAATTAGACTAGTTTTAAGGTGTTCTAAAACTATTATTTGGTAGATTTTTTATGCACTGGTTTTTACTGACTCAAAAACACCTCAGAACCAATGTAATGTATTTTAGAGGGGTTTATAAAACACCCCAAATCTGGTTGGTTTTAAAATTTTATTATACAAATACTCTATCAACTACAAAACTATCCTAATTATATCCAAAAAAAAATTTAACCATATTATGTGTCTCTAACTATATTAAATATAAAATAATTTTAAGTAATCATAAAAAAAAAATTATTAAAATCTCATTTCTATATGCTTTCTTGGAGAAGTAGAGCTATAATTTTTCAATAATTCTAGATGCTGCAAAGAATGACGAAAAAGGATACGAAAACTTTATCACATTTGAAATTATAAAATATTAATAAGTAAAAAACAAATAAAGAATTCTTACCTTGTAATTGAAAAAACAAAACTCTCAAGTATTGATTGAAGTTGAGTATTTTTATGAGTATATATGTAAATTTATCATTTTAAAAAACTATCAGAACCGCTGGAAAATAAACTCACAAGCACAGATTAGGTGTTTTAAAAACCATTACTAAAAACCCCTCAAGACCGCTACCGAGGTTTACCCTCAAAACCGCTATGGTGGTTTACTCTCATTATCGTTACCATGAAACTCCCAAGCAGATAAATTCAAAAACCTTTACGTTTGGTTTAAAGAATGTTGTATTATTGAAAATGTTTTATTAATGAAAAAGATAAATTACTTTAAAAATTATTGGAAATATGTTAGGAAAATGTGTTTGGTTATGTTAGAATAAATTGATGAGTATGTTATATTGATATGTTTGGTTGGGAGGAATAAATTGGTAGATATATTATATAGATTACTAAACCACCCTACTTTTTAAATATTAATATAATATTATTTTTTAAATAATTTCTTTTAACCACTTATATTTGAGATTTTGCTAAAACACCTCAGACATATAAAAGTTAAATTTCTAAAAAAATCACCCCCACCAACCCTAAGTCACTGCCAACCGTCAGCCACCACCGCCAACCGCGCATCAACAATCACCGTAATGGCGCATAATCGATCGAACCTGGCCAATCGTACACTTATATGACCGTTTCTGGCCGGATCAATAGCTGTTAACAGCTAGATTCATCGATCTGGCCATTTCTGGCCATTAATCTAACAAGAAACGGCAAGATTAATGCACAATCGACTAGATCCAATTGGTCGTACGTCGTTTCGACGACCACCGACAATGGCTAATGATAGCCTGCGATGACTAGCCAACAACCAATGGTGGTCTTGGATGGCTTACAATTTGTTTTAAATATAAGAACATTATTGTCCAAAAACTTAACTAATTAGGGGTAAAATTGTAATGACATGTTCATGTAAATTAATTTCCAAATAAAGGCATTATTGTTCAAAAATTTTAATAATTAAGAGTAAAATTATAACAAAATTAATATTACCAAGTAATCTTAAAATATTTAAGAAAATTGAGATAACCAGATTTTCACCTTTACAACCAATAATTATTATCACTCGAATCTTATATTACTTGACAATTAAACATAATAATTTAAACAATATAAGATTGATTAAAGTAATTTAAGTATCTAGCTCATTAATGGGGAATTACCCCCCACTAAACACACCGTAAAAGGTCTTCTATTACATATATCACGTTGATTGATATATTGATTTTAATCTTTTACTTAATCGAGTTGACAACTCACTCTTCATCTTCATCGTTTGAAAAGTGAGCCTTCCGGTACAGAAGTATATAGAATGATGATTGATGAATGAAGCTACTTTGAGTGACAACGGATCTTGTTTAGACTTCCAGTTCATTTATATGTAAAATTCAGTTTCATAAAGTTGGTAAAAATGGCGAGTATCTTTACGCAGATTTAATCAAAAGGAAAATTTTCATTGATGGCAGGTAAACTTTAATACGGTACAAAAGTAATGGAACCCTTAAGCCCCCAACAAACCCTAACATTTTACATTCTGTTAACTTACTGCTCAAAATGGACAAAAAACCCCTGCTCACAAACTTAGTTCTAAGCAACATGGAAGGAATGGTAGAGGGGGCTGCGGCATCATACCTTGATAAAGCTGAATCTGCAATGTGAATCTCTTCGGCCAATAAATATTTCTTGGGGAAGTCGATTGCTTAAGAATCCCATGTTCATCGATAACAAAAGTATATTTCAGTCAAAATCACAAACAGATTTCACCTGTTTTGAAGACCCTCGATCGCCTTTTTCCACTGCCACGCTCTCTGTTTTGCATCTTCAAACGACATGACCTTCTTTGGCTGAATCATTACATAACCATGAATCAGAAATTAAACAAAGGGAAAAAGCCACACAAATGAAACTCTAGTCGAGGAGAGAAATCGCTTAAATTCATTAACTCCTATTTAAGTTTTGTGAAATTACAAGTAGCATCAGGCATTATGCAATTCCAAACTTTATAATTCATATGTTGAAGGAAAGTTCCTCAACAATCCTAGAGTATCAATCACTATGGTTCACCACAAGGACTACATCAACAATTTAGGGAAGATAACTTCAAAGGTATGAAACTGAGAATTTTTAGAGGGAATAAGGATAATACCGTGCAAATCTTGAAATGTGATGGACTTGTTACTTGGATATTGAGGTCGTTCGAATTGTCAGACCAAATTATGTTTCCCTTTACCACAAGCTTTGAAGGGTCCACATAGATCAATTTTGGCTTGTTGGTGAGAATAAGCTGAACCTTCTTACTTGTTAGTTTCTGTAATTTCTTCACCATTGAGATCATAAGAACGGATTCACCCGGATCCAAAAATTGTTGCCTGTTATCATGATTAATAGACAAATCAATATGTATTCATTTGCAAAGAAAAAGAACACCATGGAATCTGAATATTCATTTGCCAAGTTAACTAGAAGGTAAGTGTAAGGCATCATTAATTGATATAGCATCCAACAAAGTTAATGGCAACGAAGTCCGATCACTGGCTTTGATTATGTTTTAACTTCCAAGTTCCATACCAGGTGACAAGAGAAACCAAAAATATTTAAGAACAATAATCTCCAGCAGTTTGAAGCTAAAAGACTTTGAATACAAAAGAATTACTAATCTCTTTAACAAAAAATATAGTTAAAAATATAGTAATGGGACATCAGAAAAATTGTTCCAAATACCATTTTGAGTCGAAGGAGTCAATTGAAGCAAGCCGAGTTATATGAGATACGTCACATGATGATGAGGCACCACCACTCCCATCATTTGCTTTTGCTGAACCATCCCCAATGTGAGAAGGGTTCCATGAAGAATCGTTAACATCATCACAATCACCCGAATGAGCCTAAAAGATAAAAAGACACGGTTACATGATATCAGAACTGTCAACAATAGGCAACACCAAGGATGCCAGTAACCATTCGATAACAATTTAAATCAGACTACACCGTAAAGCACAATAGAAGTTTACCATTGGTTCTAAAGCAAGTTTTGGAGGGATTAGCCCCCTTATATTCTTCCAGTCAACTCCCTTGAAGAAAGGATGCATCTTCAGTACAGCATAACCATCAGGCCCAGCACCCGGTCTTCTGCTTGGGTCTATATCCTGTGTCACAATTAAGTGGGTCCAAATAAAGACTTCCTAAAGAAAAATCATGATAGACATCCTATCACCACAGATCAAGATTTTTCAAGGAAAGAAAATTATATGACAACATGTTTTTTCCCTTGGTCAATTTCTTATCATATGTGTGTTTCTCTGGGGTCTAAACAATGTCTAATATGCAAGCACAACAGACTCCCATCCGACAGGGAAAAGTGAAAACTCCATAAAAATATCTTGCCTTTCGGCAGTTAATGTTTAGGCCAATGACTCTTTAAGGGAGAAAGACCAAAACTAAATATGTTCTGAACTTAGCTTTTTGGGTTCATGCTGTGTAGTATCTTCTGTTTATGTCAAAAATCAACACCTGTTTCAGAGGTTGGCTTCAATAAAAAGCGAAATCAAATGAAATTTATTGGCACTATCAAACTTCTATACTTTGGAGAAGCTATTACTGATCAGTATCAGATATTTTACCCTATATTATAGCATATCTGATGTATCAAGGGCAAAGTTAGGAATCACTTGTATCTTCACTCAATAAGTCATCGAGAAAAAGATAAAGAAGCTATCAGAAGAAATAGATATCAATAACTATACACCTTTATCCAATAAATAAACTGAATTTATAATTTAAAGGCATCATTTTATGTTTTTACCATTGATTATGTCTGCTTTGATGTAGTGGTACGTTTATCTTGACATCCCTTGTAAGGCAACAATTCTAATTAGAAAGTTGAAATTCTACAAACATGCCAATTTTGAGGAGGCTGAAATGAGTCCAGAGGGATAATAGGTCTCATATTAGTATAAACAAATATATTGTCCTGTTATCTGGACAGATTCTAAAGAGTATGTGGTTTCTGTTAGCAGACGAAGACAAGATATAAAACCTTGGATATCTAAATCATCCTGATAAGGGGAAAAAAAGGAAGCAATCACAATGATATGATGGATGCGGATGTACAAAGCATGATAACGCTCGAACAGTTGACTCTTTTTATTGGCAGAATAGCAACTTCACTTTGAACTTTACATAATTCATGTTAACCAAATGAACAGTAAAAACCAACAGGTAAAATCAAACAGATCAAATGCAAGAAAAGAAAAGCATATATACAAACAGCTAATGCTAAAGCACAAAAAAAGTACACAGCATACCAATAATCGATCAATGAGATCTCTAGCTTCATCTGAAAAATAATTTGGGAACCTTATATCCCTAGCTATAATTCTTTGAAATATAAGCCATTCACTGGCATCTTTGAAAGGCGAAGTTCCTGAAAGCATTTGGTACAAAGTGCAGCCAAGAGCCCAAAGGTCATTTCTGTTTGAATATGTTCAAGAGAACAAAAGTGTTATCCTATGTAAACAAGAAATAGTAAAAGATAAAATTAATAAAAAAGCTGAACCATGAGTACCAACCATCTACTCCACATAAATATATAAATTCACTCATGCCAATGTTAAAACCTAATTCCGTTATTACATTTACTCAGCTTCTCTATCCTCCAAGTTCATCCAATTAAAAATAAAATAAATCTCTTACCCAATAGTTGCAGGCGAGGAATTAAGGACTTCTGGAGGGACATATGCAGCTGTGCCGACAAAAGTGCATGCCTTATCATCTGCTCAGGACACCAAGGAGAAAAATGTTAACCTAGTGCTAAAAATATTGTCAAAAAAGATTCTGCATGATAGGTTTTCAAATATTACCAGAGGCTGCATTAGGCAGTACTGTAATTCGGCTATCCTGCATGGGCTTTACACTACCAAAATCAGCAATTTTAATATGTCCTTCCGTCGTAAGTAGTAAGTTCTCCGGCTGCCATTTAATAATATTTAGCCATTTTTAAAAATAAATAGAAAAGTGCTCATATGCTGAGAAATTACCTTAATATCTCGATGTATCAGTCCCATACCATGTATATATTCAAGAGCATCTACAACTTCTGCAGTGTAGAAACGAGCCTCATCCTCTGACAAGCGAACTTTCTGCATTTCACAAATAAATCACAGTAAATACTGTACAAATGAAAATCTAGCTGGAAACAAACCACATATTGGAAGCATATAACAAAGTTTTGAACTCAAGAATATTATTGTAAGCAAGTATTATCAGTTTCTTGAAAATAAAATAAAAATGAAGAAGAAAAGAAAAGAAAAAAGTAAAAAGAAAAAGAAGAGTATCACATCACCGCAAATAAATCCAAATTTATGTTAAAAAGAACAAAACTGATTAGTAAAATCATGTAAATAACCCTAAAATATTCAAACTGATTTTCAATCATGTAAAGCTACATGGCAAATATGGGAACATAAAATATCATCCTAGACGTACTGAAAATCTTGGAAAATGATTAAAAATGGAAAACAATATTCATCATATTTATTAACAATTCAAGAAATAATCAAGTCCTCTGATAGAACATGGTTACATGCTTCCTCTAAACATTGTATACGGAACTTCCAAGACTAATTAGAGACTTTTTCATAACGACAAGAAAAACCGAAACTGAATTTTTGATATTAACTTACTCTAGTTATTTGGTCGAAAAGTTCTCCACCTTCACAAGATTCGAGTGCCATGTCTTCAAAACATAATCAAACAAACCAACATCATATGATAAACCAATCTTGACATACCAGCAAGACACGGAGAGTTACTGATAGAACGAAGTGAAGATTAAATCAAGTACAAAATACAGAAATTTGATAATGTTATATTAAAAATACTTACACAGTGAAAAAGTATCTTGGAATGTAAAATATAGGCGCACAACTCCAGGATGGTCCAATTGATCAAGTACAATTCGTTCCAACTTCACATAAGCTGTTTTATTTTCTTTGGTGATAAATTTTTTGTCCATAATCTTCAAGGCATATACAGTTCCTGAATCTTTTTTCTTTGCACGGACAACCTGATGACATGATGAAATGATATTCAGAGGAAACTAACAACAAATCGCAATAAGAAATATAAAAAGAGGAACTCAAAAAGGATAACTGCTACATGTAATTCACCATGACAACACAAAACTAGTACACAAAAACAAAGCCCTCAAATTACGTCAGAGTTGTAATGCTTCCTTCAATGTTTAAAAATGATAAGGAAAAAGGAAAAGCAAAATCAATGTAAACATTCAAAGTCTTTCGCCTCCTTTAATACCAGAGCAAGGAGAAGAAAAGATATAGAAGGTAACAAAACCATTTCTGTAGACATTACAAGAATGTGTAACATCACAGCTTAAATTGCATAAATTCAATACCACAATGGACAGTATTTTCCATGCATCCAATAAGTCAATACTAAAACTAAATGAATAATAATCTTACAAACAAATCAAAATACTTCTTATAGAGCACAAGGTAAGAATTATTACCCTAAACAGCAAAAATTAATCATCACAATAATAGTATTAATGGTTTTTTATGTTAACAAATCTACGCTCTCATTGACCTAAAAGTTCTCCATGAATGATACGTCAAAACTTCATCTCACAATATAAAAATGGTTCTTAGGAATCAGCATGTTTTCACCTATCAATCTCACTCTTAGACATTCAAATGGGAAATTGTATGCCTCCAAATGATGTTTTCAGCAAAACAACAACCCTTGTGCAGTAAAAAATCAAACATATTCGTACCAACTAGAGTGTTCCGAGGATCCAAACCATGAATTCGACTCAAGGAAACTATGCATTGCTTCATTCTATCATTTCAATTAGTTAAATTCATTTCTCTGAAAATAGCAATACTCAGTGCCTACTGGAATCGGTAAAAAATTCTTAGGTTCTTCTCTATAATTTTGTAAAAAATAAAAAATAAAAAAATATCTTAAAAAGCTACATTTGGTACCTGAGATCAAATTTTTAAAATAAAATTATAATCTGATCTCATGAAAACAAAAACTCAGAGGCTATTAGAATCTTATATCCCTAAATTTAACATCCAAACTTTCTTTTCTTCAATTGGCATCAGGTTTTTAAGAACCAAACAAACAAAAACTGGAATCTCATATCCCTTCACACCAACCCCCATTGGTGCCAAATTCATTAAACCGTCCTCTACTCATATCCAATTCAAAATCACATGCTCTCTCACTCTGTACATAAATAACTGCTGTTATGTTAGGGGTTGATATCACAGATAAGTTTATTGAACAAGTACATCCACTTATAATCATCAAAACCATTACTGCCCAACAATTAAAAATATATTTCAGAAAAAACATTATATATCATAAGCATGTATCATGTAAATGTAGATTCACAAAGTAAACAAAACATTCGCCATAATAATCCTAAGAAAAATAACAATCACAACCCACCAATCTATAACCACAAACAAACCAAACCTATCAAAACTACACTGGAAGAAAAAGAAACAAATAAATTAACAAAACCAAGAGCAATAGCACAACCAAGGTTAAACCAAAAACAACAAAAAAAATGTAATAATAATAAAAATCCAAAACACACCCACCGAAGCCCAAATAACAAAGAACAAAAACAATAGAAACCCACCAAAAAAATAAATAAATAAAAATCAAACCTTTGAATAAGAACCAACACCATAGATCTTTCCCAGCTCAAAATCCTGGATAGTGAAATTCTCCTGAGGAGCTCTAAATGCAAAGCTCTTAGATCTCTGAACATTTGCGCAATTAGATGAATTATTGCCCTCAATTCTAAGCTTTGAATCAAAATCTTTCTCCATTGCCAACATTTCTCTCTCAAAAACAAAAAGAAAAAAAAAAATCTTCTCTACATAATAATAATGAAAATTAAAATAAAAAAACCAACTTTATCTCTCAAAACAAATAAAGAAGGGAAATTTGTTCGTGTCTTGGGAGAAGAGTCTTTAGTCAAAGGAAACAGAAAGAAGAGGGCATTGGATCAGAGAGAGAGTGAGTGTTAATATTCTCTGATAAAGAAAAGTGAATGATTCTCTTGCATCAACATATATATATGTATATGTATATGGGTATATGTGTATATATCAGGAGGTGAATCAGCTTTAAACTTTAGTTTTGGAAACTATTCAAAACCCCAGAAAGTGAAAAGAAAAGGAAAAAAAGGTAATGAAATTGAAATGCATGAATGAAATGAATGGAGAAAGAGAAAGGTGAGATTAATGGAGGAGAGCGATGTATGGGGATTGAAGAGAAGAGAAGGAGAAGAAGAAGGAGATTATTAGAGAATGAATGAAGAGAGACAGCACATGGGATTGAATGATGGAGATCATTCTCCTCTCCTTCTTTGTCTTTGCTAATTTACTCCTTCCCCCCTCCTCATTTTTACCTTATTTTTGACAAATAATAAGATAAATTCAGTGTAATTTATCTTAATATTTTTTTTCTCTATTTTGACATAATATTGTAAGTTTAATTTATAAATTTGATTTTTTTATATAAAATTTTTTTATTCATTTTGAGACACCTTAATTTGTATAAATATTTTATATGTTTAACCATTTCATATAATGAATGTGGTATTTAATGTTACAAAATGTATTTGGGTAAATTTATTTTATTATGTTTTGTTCTGTTTTAACCTTTTGACTTTAGCATTAAAAAGTATGTGCCAAATCAAGTATAAAGCTTAAGAAAATAAATCAAGTTGTTACCATCAACTTTCATGCAAAATGTATTAATTTATAATTTCATGTGACATTATTTTAATTAGTTTGTTTTTTATTATTTTTATGGAATAAATGGACCTACTTTAAGCTTTTTTTTTTTATTAGGATGGTGGGAAATTAAATTTGCTTTATGGGTATTTTGATATTAATTTTTTTTTTTAATCCAAAAGGGTTATTTATTAGAAAATCTTTAGTAAATTTCATTCATCTTGAAGAGATATGTATATGACAATCTCATATCATGGGATATTTATAACTATTTATGAGAAATTTTTGTACTGATTAATTTTATGACAATTATTTTGATCAAACATTATAAATAAGTAGAAAAACTACTAAATTATTTCTCTGATTTTGGAATATGATCGAGAATTAAATCAAAATTACAAAGAATATATTTAAATTTCCATTTTATAAATTTATTTAATATTTTAGAAAATTCAACAACGTAGAATTTATAAATAAGATAATGATAATCCATCTTCATAATTATTGGATTATAACAATATATTATAGAAATGTAAGAATAATTTTACATTTTTATTTAATAAATAATATCATTTTTAATCATAATAGATATATGAAATATGTGTAAAGAGTGAAGCTTACTTTTTTCCAATTAATTAATTTTTTCGAAAAAATAAATAAAATAAAATTAGATAATTTAAAATGTTTTAAAATAAAAATAAAAATAAAGTAAAAGAAAGAGACTGTTAAAGGCTGACCCTCCAAGTAAAGTGGACACTTGTTCACCTGGGGCGGATTTGCCGAGTCAAAAGTAGAATAAAAATTTTGTGGCTCTGCAGGATGACACGTATACAATCATATGTGCTTTCATGGTTTTATTTATTATTAAATTAATTTCTATAAATTATGCATTTGTGTTTTCTAACTTTAATTCACAATTTTTTAACATAAAAAAATGGTCAATAATGCTTTGTTTATCAGCCTACTCTCATATGGTAATGCGCAAATTTTGTTTTTTAAACAAAAAATTGTATTTAAATGATTTTTTAAAACTATTAAATACAACACTAAGTGTTTTTAATACTTTTACAATGTTGTTTTTATTATAAATGTAATAAGATTTTCAGTAATTTTAAGGGTTTTTTTAAATAATTTTTATATCAATAATTTACAGTATGGTTTTAGGAATTTATATTTATTCATTTATAATAAATAAAACTCTTGAAATAAAAATAAAAATATATATTCACTAACGTTTTATGTAAGTCACATAATGCTAAAAACAATGGTAAAACAAAGTTCGATATAAAAAATAAAATAATAAAAAAGAGTTAGCTTAAAAAGAAGAAAACAATGTTGTCATTCTCTAAGACGATTATAAAATAAAAATTCAATGAATCCATAGATGGACTTAAATTAAACCATAGTTTATATTTTCGATTTCTCCTAAAAAGTTGCATTTATATTAATGGGACAAACAAATCATTCTCCTCTTCCATCCAAACTTTGTTTCATAGGAAAAGGAAGGTGATATTTAATTATCAAAAACGTTTTTAAATATCATAATGATATAATACCATAACTCAATATTTACATAGAAATGTAAGGATTTGAATTTTTCCAAAGAGGTAAGTGAAGATTTTATGAAATGTAAAAAGGCGATCAAAGCTCTGTTCCTTGAGTTTTTATATTCAAACCTTAGGGTTACCAACTACCATAATATTATAGTTTACTTGGTCTTTTGGGTTTGTATTGTATTCAATAGACTTTTAAGATTAATTAAGGTGTACGCAAGTTAGTTGAACACCTCGATTACAGAAAAAAATAAAAAAGGCGGTAGCATATTATTTTCTAATACCTTTGACATCTTGTTGATATTTTTTTAAACCTCAAGGAGGGTAAAAGTAATAAACCTAAGACGTGTTTAAAAAAAAAAAAAAAAAAAAAACAATCTAAAAGAACTTTTAATAATATCAAACATATGTCAATTTATTTATTCACATTTAAAGTAAAGAGGGAGATGTGGTTTTGCAAATAGCATGGCATGGCATGGCATGGCATGTGGTGGACTTGTGGGTTTGCAAACACATTGACCAAACCATGTTATGAGTGTCTTTTCTTGCCATACTATTTTTATAAAGTAAATGACATATTTTCACCCGAGGTTTAGCGAAATTTCAAATTGATATCATTGGTTGTATTTATTTTAGATTCTCACCGTTAAAGTAACTTCATTAGTTATTGTTGGAGTTGGTCAGAAACGGTGAGTGAGGTCGGCAAGTGAATGTATAAGTTTTATAGAAGAGGTTGTGGAGAGTCCAATGGCGATCTCAAAAGTGATTTTGGAATTCAAAATCGGCCAAAAAAAGCCAAAAATCGTCGGCTTGGACGCTATTAATGTGAGCCGTTTTTTGCTAAAATGAGCTCGTCTTCTGTCAACGAAAACTCTGGTGTACTTTAGCACGCTAAAGTGCACTGCGCTATAGTAAAAAGTAGGAAATCAGTTAAAATAAAGGAAACATCGTTACTTTAAGTTTGAAAATCTAGAATAAATGTAACTAGGGTTATCAACTTGGGATTTCGCTCAACCTCATTTAGGAATATGTCATTTGCTCTATTTTTATATTTCTTATTTATACCATGAATTGCTAAAAGCCAAAAAATTTCATTCAACTCGATAAACATGATTTGATTATAATTTTATAAAATCATTATCAATTTGGAGACACTTTCAAAAAAAAAAAAAAAAAAAAAATTGATAACACCCTTATAAAATTACTCATTGAATTTGATCGGATTGAACGGTTAAAAATCCGTGTCAATAATTTAATATATAAGAGTGGCAATAATTGTGAACCGTGAGATAGTGAGGTTGGCAAATGGATGGGACCAGCCCATGTTAAATAAAAGTGGTCCATAAAATTTTGGGCTTGATGGGTATTAGTATTATAAGATGCAGTTGAATATGAATTAAAATAATGGGTCCAAAAATAAAGATAAGGATAATCTAATATAAACAAATATAAGAATGTACCCATGCATTGGATAAGCCTTTTCTTTCTATTATTATTGTTAATATTAATATTTTTTTTTTTATCTCTTTCAATATCATACAAGCACGTGGAGAAGACAACAAACCATAACATAAAATTTAGACAGTTTTTCTGTCCCCAGAAAATTACAATCATTTATATTCTCACCTTTGCCTTATTATAAAGTACAAAGGAAGTTGCCTATGGCAGCAACTTGAAAAAATAAAAAAAGATTTGGCATGGAGATTGTTTTAGAAATTATCAAAAAACGATTTCAAATAAAAAAATAAAATATACTTTCTTTTGTAGAAATTTGATTTATAGTCAAGAGGGATTCAAGAATTTAAGTTATGTCAACCAATTTAAAGTGGGTTTATCACTTTATCTATAACTTAGTTATAGATCAACTATGTTTTGATACCCAGCTCGGCCTGGCCGGTTGAATTGGTTTAACCGGGACCCGGGGCCTTCGCTGGGCGGGTTACCACTTTTAACTATTTACCTTAAACCCTAGAATTATAAATGGCGATCGGCGAGCATACAACGACAATTATGTTGGGGCTTTTGGAGAGGGAGTGTCAATGAGTCAAAAGGTGGTGAAGAGAGTGATTTCCGATAAGTGAATCAACCGAAAAAAGCAAAAATCAATCGGCCAAAACAACGGTCCATTGCCAACAATTGGCGAAGTGAACGAGAGAAAGGTGAGATAGGTTTTATTCAGGAGGTTGAGAGAAGTGTTTTCATGGTGATAGGGAGTGTTGTTGTCGCCGAAAACAGGCTCTATTCGGCTAAGGTTGTTAACACCATCAGTAGTGTTTAGAGTGTTTTTGCAAGTTTGCAAGTTTTCAAACCTGTAGGGACTTATAACTTTTTAGAAGTTTTTTTGTTGAATTTTAAACCTTTGAACACTGACCGGTTTGACCTGTTGGTCAAACCGGTTTAACTAGTCAACCAGGGACTTGGCCACTTTGTTGGGTTTCACTGCAGGTTGGTTATTAAAACATTGGATAAAATAGCTTTCTAACGATGGAAATGTAGAAAGTGCTTTCAAATACGTATGCAGGAAATGCTTTTACTAAAATTGATTTTTACATAAGCACTCCCAAACTCAGTTGATTGATTCCACGGTAGAATACTATTATGACTAAGATTAAACATTATACAAAGTTTTATGTTTTAGTTACAAGTTTCACGTTATAATTTTACAACTTTAACGTTAATGTATTGATTCAGCTGAGCCGTATACTATAGCGAAATCTCAGAAAAGAATCATGAGAAAAAGCCAGAATGGCTCAAAATGAAGCANTTACAGAAAAAAATAAAAAAGGCGGTAGCATATTATTTTCTAATACCTTTGACATCTTGTTGATATTTTTTTAAACCTCAAGGAGGGTAAAAGTAATAAACCTAAGACGTGTTTAAAAAAAAAAAAAAAAAAAAAACAATCTAAAAGAACTTTTAATAATATCAAACATATGTCAATTTATTTATTCACATTTAAAAGTAAAGAGAGGGAGATGTGGTTTTGCAAATAGCATGGCATGGCATGGCATGGCATGTGGTGGACTTGTGGGTTTGCAAACACATTGACCAAACCATGTTATGAGTGTCTTTTCTTGCCATACTATTTTTATAAAGTAAATGACATATTTTCACCCGAGGTTTAGCGAAATTTCAAATTGATATCATTGGTTGTATTTATTTTAGATTCTCACCGTTAAAGTAACTTCATTAGTTATTGTTGGAGTTGGTCAGAAACGGTGAGTGAGGTCGGCAAGTGAATGTATAAGTTTTATAGAAGAGGTTGTGGAGAGTCCAATGGCGATCTCAAAAGTGATTTTGGAATTCAAAATCGGCCAAAAAAAGCCAAAAATCGTCGGCTTGGACGCTATTAATGTGAGCCGTTTTTTGCTAAAATGAGCTCGTCTTCTGTCAACGAAAACTCTGGTGTACTTTAGCACGCTAAAGTGCACTGCGCTATAGTAAAAAGTAGGAAATCAGTTAAAATAAAGGAAACATCGTTACTTTAAGTTTGAAAATCTAGAATAAATGTAACTAGGGTTATCAACTTGGGATTTCGCTCAACCTCATGTAGGAATATGTCATTTGCTCTATTTTTATATTTTTGATTTATACCATGAATTGCTAAAAGCCAAAAAATTTCATTCAACTCGATAAACATGATTTGATTATAATTTTATAAAATCATTATCAATTTGGAGACACTTTCAAAAAAAAAAAAAAAAAAAAAAATTGACAACACCCTTATAAAATTACTCATTGAATTTGATCGGATTGAACGGTTAAAAATACGTGTCAATAATTTAATATATAAGAGTGGCAATAATTGTGAACCGTGAGATAGTGAGGTTGGCAAATGGATGGGACCAGCCCATGTTAAATGAAAGTGGTCCATAAAATTTTGGGCTTGATGGGTATTAGTATTATAAGATGCAGTTGAATATGAATTAAAATAATGGGTCCAAAAATAAAGATAAGGATAATCTAATATAAACAAATATAAGAATGTACCCATGCATTGGATAAGCCTTTTCTTTCTATTATTATTGTTAATATTAATATTATTTTTTTATCTCTTTCAATATCATACAAGCACGTGGAGAAGACAACAAACCATAACATAAAATTTAGACAGTTTTTGTGTCCCCAGAAAATTACAATCATTTATATTCTCACCTTTGCCTTATAATAAAGTACAAAGGAAGTTGCCTATGGCAGCAACTTGAAAAAATAAAAAAAGATTTGGCATGGAGATTGTTTTAGAAATTATCAAAAAACGATTTCAAATAACAAAATAAAATATACTTTCTTTTGTAGAAATTTGATTTATAGTCAAGAGGGATTCAAGAATTTAAGTTATGTCAACCAATTTGAAGTGGGTTTATTTATAACTTAGTTATAGATCAATTGTGTTTTGATACCCAGCTCGGCCTGGCCGGTTGAATTGGTTTAACCGGGACCCGGGGCCTTCGCTGGGCGGGTTACCACTTTTAACTATTTACCTTAAACCCTAGAATTATAAATGGCGATCGGCGAGCATATAACGACAATTATGTTGGGGCTTTTGGAGAGGGAGTGTCAATGAGTCCAAAGGTGGTGAAGAGAGTGATTTCCGATAAGTGAATCAACCGAAAAAAGCAAAAATCAATCGGCCAAAACAACGGTCCATTGCCAACAATTGGCGAAGTGAACGAGAGAAAGGTGAGATAGGTTTTATTCAGGAGGTTGAGAGAAGTGTTTTCATGGTGATAGGGAGTGTTGTTGTCGCCGAAAACAGGCTCTATTCGGCTAAGGTTGTTAACACCATCAGTAGTGTTTAGAGTGTTTTTGCAAGTTTGCAAGTTTTCAAACCTGTAGGGACTTATAACTTTTTAGAAGTTTTTTTGTTGAATTTTAAACCTTTGAACACTGACCGGTTTGACCTGTTGGTCAAACCGGTTTAACTAGTCAACCAGGGACTTGGCCACTTTGTTGGGTTTCACTGCAGGTTGGTTATTAAAACATTGGATAAAATAGCTTTCTAACGATGGAAATGTAGAAAGTGCTTTCAAATACATATGCAGGAAATGCTTTAACTAAAATTGATTTTTACATAAGCACTCCCAAACTCAGTTGATTGATTCCACGGTAGAATACTATTATGACTAGGATTAAACATTATACAAAGTTTTAGTTACAAGTTTCAAGTTATAATTTTACAACTTTTACGTTAATGTATTGATTCAGCTGAGCTGTATACTACAGCGAAATCTCAGAAAAGAATCACGAGAAAAAGCCAGAATGGCTCAAAATGAAACAATTCAGGAAGATGTATTACTTGAATTACTTCTTTCTCATTTACTTGTCATTCCAATATTGCAAAGGATCATAACAGCCAAAGAGAAGAGATATAAAAGACAAACAAAACCTACATTTTTTTCTTCTTTCAACAACACAAAAGGAAACTAGAAAGTCTGACAACTAATTTTCATCTTACCCCATTAGATGTATTTGTAAACAAAAGTCCCCCACCAAAATTAACAAAGGGGTATTTTAAAATTTTAAGAGAGAGAGAAAAAAAAAAAAAAACTATAGAGACATGAAGAACAATTTACTCTAGAGAATTAAGAGAGTAACCTGCTATTGAAATGTATTTATGCTATAAATCCCAGCCATCCTTTCGACCATTAAATTCCCACTTCCGGCCAGCCAGGCTTCCATACATCTCTGAAAATTTCTGGAGGCATTTGCTTCTTTTCTGGTAATGTACTTGTGTGTTTCTGCTAATAGCTGCACCGGAGAATTTCGATGTATCGATTGCCCATGCCGGTCTCACATATTCTACAGCCTTTAAAGCGCTTGCATTCGCATATAAATAATTCAGTAACACATCCTCACAGTTGAAGTATTTGTCTACCAGTTCTCTTCCAGCCTTCGCTTCCTTGGACCAGTACCTCTTAAAAGCCAGTTGATTATCGATGAAGGCTGCCCCAGTAAGGATCATATTGTACCCTTCTCGGCTTCTTGCATATTTCTCACCTCTATACTTCAATGGATTTCCATCGACTAAGCGTGGGTAGAACCCCACTATCCTATCCGGATGTTGGCGCCATACCTGAAACCCTCGTTCAACATCATCGCAAGTCATCATAATATCATCATCAAGCTCAAGGACTGCACGAGTCTTTATTAATGGATCAATCTTAAACCGATTGTTCAAGGAGTTTTGATTCTCCACTCTAATCCTCACAGGCACTGCTGAGTCAAGATCACTCAATTTTGGAGATACCCCTTTGTTCCACACTACGACAATCTCTTTCACCGAGGAGCATCTTGAGTAATGCTTCACGTACATTTTCAAATTCCAGAGGCGAGCGTCATATGTCATTGTTAACATTGTGAACTGAGAATAATGACCCTTCCACATGTAAGCTTCATCTGCGCCATTGCCTCCATAGATGTACTTAACCCCTGTGCACGTCAGTGCAACTCCAGATACAAATATCACTGACAGAACCATTCTTCCAGAACTTGTATTTGGTTTTACCCTGCCCTGAAGAATCAAAGCTGATCGGTTCAAGCGGCTACAAAACCATCTGACCTTTGAGCTAAGAAAACTTTCCTTTTCCCAATCCAAGGATGAATCACTTCTCTTCCCTGAGTACTGTGCACACCAGTTAAGCGGGATGATGCACTTCACAGCTCCAAGTAGCACACCTAATAAGATGCCAAGCGTAGCAACAGCTGCAATAGAAGAACAGCCAAGAAGAAACCGACGGATTGAGTCTCCTGAAAGGACTCGATCTCCATCCATAAACCCAATCCACTCACCGGAACTTAACTGCTGCACATCAAGGTGATGGTTGCGAGCACTATTCCAACCATTTTGACCCTTGTATGACCCCTCTAAGATGAAGGGGACTTCAACTTCTTTGTATTCATCCTTGGTAAGAACTTCCACCTTAAAGGTACGCACTTGTCGCCCATATGATTCGCCACAGTCCTGACCAACACGATAAAGATTTCCATTATACACAAATGGCCTGCCTCCATTTCGCGCCCCCAAATACTTGTCAACATTATATATAGGGTTCTTCTTGTGTGGCTTCCAAGGACCAAGAGGTGTGCTGCTATACCAAAGTTCCAGCTGTCCATTCCTGTTGGTTCCAAAACCACTATGATCAGAAGCAAAAAGCCAATAGATTCCATCATGATTAACTAGAACGGGGTCAATGACGGGCTTCTTCATAACAATCCTGTCCAGTGTCCATTTCAAAGGAAAGTCAATTGCTCGATAAAGACGAAGTTCCTCTTTCCCACTGCTCTCAGGCATCATGTATATCTGCAAGAAAGCAACAAATGAAGAATAAGTGCACTTTGTCCAATAGTTTTCTTACCCCCTTAAATGAGGTCCCTAAAGAGTATAGTTTGAAAAGAACACTACAGGCCAAAAGCCAGATTCCCTGTTTGCAAAGACAGTGGCTGAAAATCAGAATGGTACAGCATTGAGCTTCTACTCGGTTCATAACACTTTTTTGTCCTCTTTTCAGCATCAATTAACCATTCTACAAGAATTATACATTTTTTACGAGCATATTCGTACAGGAGACTGATTGCATACTTGACCAAGGTATTCAAACACATATGGATATGAGAGATGCCAGTCCTCATCCAGAGCTATGCCCAGTTGCTCCCATGTTGCTCCCTTGTCGACACTTTTTGCAACTCCAATATCCCCTTGCATCGTAATCGAATTCTTGGTTTCATAGAATAGGTAAAGAACATCTCCCTGAATCATAATATCAGTTGAAATTAACATGAGTATTAATTTATAATCATTAACAAAAGTTGACACAATATAAGAATTTAACATATTTGGACAGTAAACTAGCAAGTGAATATCAGGCTTACCGCAATGACAAACACAAACACAAACACAAAAAGAATTTTGTCCAAAATCTAATTCCATTAACAGAGTTCAATAAAAAGTTTCCTTCAGTGTGTGCTTGTTATGTACAGAAATTATATGAAGAGATTTTATTCGCATGTAGAGCAAGTAATACTATTCAAAAGTAAGAAGTTTTGATGTGATTACTACTGTTTTATTCACTCAAAACATTAGGCCAAGACATAATTTCTATTGTCTCATCAAGAAGCTTACAAGGAGAATCAAATTCTTGAACTAAAAACATTGGCAAATTGAAAGCTTTAACAAGTGAAAATCCTAATTCCAAAGACTCACACCATCTCCCCTAAAGAACAGAACATCAGATCCCTAATATCAGTATTTTCATATATACTATCACAAAATCCATGCTTATTGATAAGAACCCACTCCAATAACTCAACAATTTGGGCTACACCATAGGTCTTTCATGGGCTTGAGTAGAACTCTCCTTGGAAAACCAGCTTGCCGAGGGAGGGTGCCCAAGCCTTTATAACCCGCATGCCCACCCTTTTCCCTTTCAATGTGGGATCCTAACATTCCCCCACGCTTCGAGACCCAACACCCTCGTTGATCTTCTTTCCAGAGAGTGCCCGCCCTCATGGGCCTTTACTGACCTCCCTTTGGGTCTTACTTCGCCTAGAAGCCTATCAAGCCCTAGAAGCTTGTCAACAACTCTCCTCTCGACCCCTCGGAGGACCCACTGGGCCCTACTGCATAGGCTCCACGTCGGCCTCTTTACCCCTTGGGTGACTTCGCGGATCCCCTTTCCTTGGGGTAGCAGCCCGGGCCCAAGGTCAGCCTGCCACGCGTGCGCAGGATCATGCTCTGATACCAATTGATAGGAACCCACTCCAATAACTCAACAATTTGGGCTAGGCCATGGGTCTTTAATGGGCTTGGGTAGAACTCTCCTTGGAAAACCGGCTTGCCAAGGGAGGGTGCCCAAGCCTTTATAACCCACATGCCCACCATTTTCCCTTTCAATGTGGGATCCTAACACTTTTCCACACAACTAGTATCCACAAGAATCAGCCTCCAATGATTAGAGCAGAAAGAAACTACATAACAGTTAACACTTACCAGGAATCAAGACAAAAATATAGTAATATAGATAACTTAAACAGATAATAATATTCACGTGGTTTCATTAACAAACACCACATGTTCTGTGTATATTTAAAACATATGCAGCTGCTTGACAGAACCTACTTGGTTCTGGGCCTTGGACTTGTAATTGGTAATATTTTTTATTTACTAGACTCCAATAAATTATTATATATATCAAATTCTGTATCCAAGAAATCGAATTAGACCTTTTCCCTGTCACTCTTATGCATCACCAAAGAATCAGATCAGCTTAATGTGATTTGAACTAAAAACATCACCAGGAACTGGAATTTGAAAACAGTAAAATATATCAGATCCTGTTTTTGGTATGACCGGGATTTCATGTTTTGTATCATGTACAAAGACAAGTGATTCTACGAACCGACCTATATGTGGTCTGATTTGCTTCCAAATACCTAGTCAACATATGCATAACTTAAATTAAAAAAAAAAAAAAGGTTTAGTGAGTCAAATTGACTACTTTGCAGAATTCCAATTAGTTTTTGAATTTTCGATGGAATAAAAGGATTAGGATCTGTTGTTAAAACCCAAAGAGATCATCATATTACTTTCATAGGACCTTTTCACTAGTGCCAACCACCCCCTTGATTTAAATGATGCAATGCCTTATCCACAAGTTCTTTTAAATGATATCTCCAAGTCTACTACAAAAAGAACATAACAACTCTTTAGATAAAAGCTTCCACACAAGTCAATGTTAATCCTTAAAGCTTCCTACCTCTAATCCTAAAAAGTCACTTTGCATGGTGTCAATATCTCAACCAAACAACCGCACAACTGTTTCCTAAGAGTATAAAGAAAAGCATAACCGCATCGAAATCACATTTTCGCAACTTTGGAAACAAGGCATCATCATCTACTACAGCAGATCATAGACTACACAAAAGCAGCTCATAAATTGACACAAAATACAGATCAATCTCTCTGTTCTGCAGCTTGGCAAATCATATAGTAGCGAAAGAGGCCGAAATGTTATAAGCAAAAAAGAATTGAAAATTAATCTAGAAAAAACATTTATGCATTCAATTAACAAAGTAAAATTTTTGGATTAAGGTTTAGTGGACAAACATTGGTCAAACCAAATACATATATATGATACAAGACTCAACCATCAAAAAGGGCCTACCAAACAGGAGAGAAATAGTGAAAAGAAGAAGAAGAAGAAGAAGAAGAATGCTTCAAAAACATAAACCATTAAGTTGAAAAATTAATACCTGAACATATAGAAAAGGATCAGCAACAAAATTACTAGGAAAACCAGAAGCAGAAACAGACCCACATGTTATAATTGGGTTAGCCACTGGCCACGCCGCACTATGATTCCTCCATATATTCACCTGCAGAAATTTCAACTCACCAAAACTCAGTATCCCGTAATTCAATTATCCAAAAAAAAAAAAAAAAAACCCAAAAATCAATTAAAAAACTAATCTTTACACATATTTTAACCCCAATAAAAAATAAAACTTACTGTTTCAATAGGTTTGAGAGAGAAAGGAGAGTGACCATAGAAAACACCAATGGCCCAAGAGCCTTCACTGTCTTCCCTACAACCAAAAGGCTGCACCATTCCTGTACTTGCATAGGGCTTCTTCACAACAAGCCAGCCATAAAGCAACCCAACGAATCCGTACACAATAAAACACCAAACAAAGAAAACAAATCCTGAAGAAGAAAACATAAACCTACTCCGCCCAACATGTCCATGATTATTCACATGTTTCCATCCCCATCTACACCAACAACTACACCCACTTGCCGCCGCCCCACCTCCACCTCCACCGCCACCGTCAATGCCACCGTCCCCGCCACCGCTCACAACCACCTGTCCCGAACCCATGTTATATCGACCTTATTTTCACCCGCATTTTCTCCCCTCTATGACAAAAAGTCCCTCTTTCAACTTTTATATATTTTCAAACAAAACAAAACATAACGTATCATCAACCTAGTCTTGTTTCTAGTTTACAAAGGTGACAAGAACGAGGCTTAAACTCGATGAAACAACTCTCTCTTTCTCTCTCTCTCTGGCTCTATCGTTTGTGTGTTGATTCAATTTGAGTATATAAATTTTTTTTTTTTTTTTTTTTTGGGTGTTTTGTTTGTGGAATTATGAGATTGAGACCTGCGCTGAGGGTGAAGGGAAGGAGGTCTGGTTATGTATGGAAACTGAAGAGCGCAAAATTGTTTATTATTTTGTATTTCGGTTTGATGGAGTGTACTCGCTCTACATGGTTGCCAAGTCTGATTTTATGAGTCTGACGCGGGCGTAACTCGTAAGCGATAGAAGGTACGGTATTAACTATTAAGCACGCAGAGAGGGACAAATTTGAGAAACTCTCCTGGACTTTCCTCAATCATCTCAGTATCACCCAATTCACAAAATTATCACAAATTAACCTGAACCTTATCGTCGCTGCGGTTACTATGAGAATTCTTATGCAATTACAAAATTGCCCTTATCTTATGAATATACAATTACTTATGCCTTTGTCTATTAAAAAAAAGAGTAACACTAGTCTTACAAAGAGACATACAAAGAACCATATAAAGAGATAATCCCTACTCTTAAAATTCATGATTGTCTCTCTCTCTCCCCCCCCCCCCTTTTTTCCCTTCTTTTAAGGTTAGAGATTATCTCTTTATATGTCTGTTTGTAAGGCTAGTGTTACTTTTAAAAAAATATATCAAGAAATAAAAAACCAAACTAAAACCTTTAACGAAGATATAATTGCATTATATTAAATTCAATGTTGGGTTTTCATGTATGTTGTTTGATAATAATATTTTGATATTCAAAGTATGGACATCTTATATGTAAATTGAATAATGTTATACTTATAACTTAATTTTACAACTCTGATATAATAGTTCGTAATTGATCAGTTCACAAATATATCTCGTCTACTCGTTATGTGTCTTACTTACCCAATTGCGAGTTGACCATATTTTTTTATGTTACCCTTAAAAATTAATTTGCATATATATTTTAGTCCAACTTCTTCTTGAACCCATAAAAGAAAAAAATCAACATAATTAATTGGATAATAATCGGTAGTTTTGGGGACCTTGGGATCGTTTATTATAAGGAGGTAGATTTAGGTTTGATCAAATGTGAATTAATTATTTCTAATTTGTGGTTAGGAACTTGATTATTAAAAACTCCACCCTAGTAACACTATTAAAATTAGTTAAATTTGGGTTATTCTTTTGAAATTATACTTATTGATTTAAAGACTCATTGGGTGGATAATCTAGAAGATTTCAAGAGATTTCTTTGATTAAAAATAATACCATCCCTACTCATCCAATTCAAAAATTTATAAAATAAAATATAAATTAATCATAAATCATTAAGTTAAAAAAATAACTCTGTAAAGATTACATCATAAATATATTATTTTAATGTAAGTAATCAAGCGGATGCTCAAGGTTTATCAAAAGAATAAAAGTGGGTGTGTTTTATCATATAAATGTGGTTTGTCACTTTAGTGTAATGTAAAATGGTTCATTTATTAATTTTACTTTATTCATAATTATTACTTTAATTTTCTAAACTTCGAACAAACTTTATTTAGGAATATGTGAATTGGTACATCTCCATTATGGATGTCAAATGGGCCAACAGATTAAAAAGTTAAAAAAAAAAAAGAAAAAAAAAAAAAAACATTCAAATGGGTTATATGGGGAGGGTGCTTTGTATTGTGGGCTATATATCACATAATTAATGTTCTAAAATCTAACATAATCTAGCTTTTTGACAAATTAGAATTATGAATTTATAAAAAAGTAGCCTTTTTCAAATAAATTATCATTTTAAAATAAGGGGAAAAGTTGATTAACCCAAATTCAATTTGTTCTCTCAAATTAAATTAGTCATTGTTTAATCCAATTTGCCAAAGTTTTTATCTAGAAAAGGTGTTTAAAAGGAGGCTAATATGAGCCAGAAGATTCGTTAGTGGATAAATGTTTATCTTGTGTGTTTCAAATGATTTTGTTTTTCTATTTTTTCATACCATTGTTTAATTTAGGGTCCCACTGTGTGATTATTGAATTGACTTGAAAATAAAATAATTTCTTGTTTGAAAACTTTTGAAGATTTGATAACGTTATTGACTCAATTGATGTACTAATAACATACGAAAGAAAAATACCAAATAAATTATAAACCTACATATTTAGGGTATACAAAATGAGTGATCATAATTTGATTCTCCTTATTATCCTAGTAAAACAATAATAAACAGATATATACCTTCTTCTCCATTTTTTTTTCTCGGTTTATTGAGATTCGTCCACGAAAATAAGAGATCTCTCATTGGATAATTTTGAATATTCAATTGACGTCATTAGTCCCATGATATAATAATTGATAAAAATATGCCTTTTTTTTTTCTTTTTAATATTGTTTTATACATAGAAACTTTATAGAGTGGTTAAAATCATATGATTTAATTAATAATAATTTTTTAAGAATAAATTTATTCTCTTTTTATTTTCCATTATTTTTTCAAGCAAAGTATGCTACTCAATTTTCAAAGCTTCTCATAACTCATTTTCATTTTTTTTTCTAAAAAAAAAAAAAAAAAAAAATCAAAAGTTTTATTATTATTGTTTTGACACTTTAAATTATTTTAGTGGAAAATAATAAGTTGTTGACCGTTACATCCAAAACTTGACTTGAACAAACTTTTATAAAATTAGAAGAAAGAGACACGAGTGGCTAGCAAAACTCTTGCAACTTAGCCCTTGGGACACTCTTCAACTATCAACTTCTGTTTTTGTCTTAATTTTGTGAAGTTTTGATTAAATTTCATGTTATTTCCATTATCTAAAATCTTCATTACAAAAGACTTGTGGCAACCATTAGATTGATTTAGATTAAAATATACAACTTATCATTCATGTCAATTATATTGATTATTACATCACTCTATTGGCAATTAATTCGTTGACTTGATCAATATTTAAAGTAAGAAAATAATAGCAACAATGAAAAATATATAAAAGTCATAAATATTAATGTGGAACTTATAAAATAAATAATTTTGTGGAATTTTGATTACATTTCGTGTTATTTCCATTATATAAAATCTTCATTACAAAAGACTTGTGGCAACCATTAGATTGATTTAGATTAAAATATACAACTTATCATTCACGTCGGTTATATTGATTATTACATCACTTTATTGGCAATTAGTTCGATGACTTAATCAATATTTAAAGTAAGAAAATGATATCGACAACGAAAAATATATAAAAGTCATAAATATTAATGTGGAACTTATAAAATAAATAATTTTGTTGTTTGTTTCTAAAATGTTAAAATATGTTCAATACAAATGACAAGTGAGTATTTAGAAAAGAAATGGTAAAAAGAAAAAAGAAAAATGTTCATTTAGATATTTTTACTGTTTTGCAGAAAACTAATTTCAAAATCTCATTTAAAGACAATTCTAAATGGCACCCCATCCCTTGTTAAAATTGGCAAAATGGGTGATGATGGTAATTAATAAAAACCCTTTTTTTTTTTCTTTTTTCTTTTTATAAAAAAATATTAAATGTTCGAATCACACAGTAACAAGGATGATATGGTGGCCTCAGCTGGCTAACTATATTTAGGAGGCTTTACTTTAATGGGAAAATTTTAGGTTTTGGCATTAATTATTAATGTCTTGATTCAAAATTTTAATGGTAATTAATGTTGAATTTCAAACCTATTTATAGATTTAAAAAAATTCAATAATGCTATAAGCCTATAATCCAATGAATTTATATCGTTTTTAAAACTTTTTTGTGGTATCAAATTCAAATCTCATTCACGATACTATAGACTTTTCTTGTGGGCTTTATATTGATTTTTGCCCACTTGATACCAATGTTCTGAAAATTGGACCAGACAATGACCAGTTCAAGGGTTCGGTTTTCGGTTGGACCGTAATTTATAAAATTATTTTTAGTCTCTAAAGGTTTGAAATTCATCAAAAACACATCTATAATACTCCCTTAAGGTTTGAAATATGTCTAAAACACCCCTATCGAGCGAATATTCTGGTGAATGGTGGCGGGAGTGACAATCGACGACCAATCGAAGCTGGAATCTTGGGGCTTTTGATGTGTAGGTGACAGCGACTCTGATGGTGGTGCTAGCCTGCTAGGGAGTTCCATCGGCGTCGGAACTCGCCAGAATCAACAAAAGAAATCCAAGGTCGTGTAAACTTTAGGTGGATGGCGAGCGACGAAGGCTGGACGACGGCCACTGAAAATGGATGGGTTTGGTCGTGGAGATGTCGTCACGTCGAATGGAGGTGTTTTCTTCGTCGAAAGATGCCAGAATCCGGCGGTATGGAGCTGCGATTGGACCGCGACTTGGCATTATTCCGGCGGTCCAACCGCGGCTCAATCCGGTTTAATGATAAATGCTGGTTTTTACAATATATCGGACTAGAAATACCGCCGGTTTCCGATCGAACTGGTCCGATCAGGTGGTCCGGTCCGATTTTCAAAACAATGCTTGACACATAAAAGGGATAAAGATAGGACAATTACTATAACAGTATTGGACTAATTAATAAATAATTCATTTCATATCATATAGTAATAATTTTTGTTATTGATTGTCCAAATCATATCTTGGGTTATCAAATTTAACTAAAGTCACACACATTTTGTTGACAAGTTAGCACTTCCCTTAAGGTTAACCTTTTTCTAGTTGCATTAATTTAGTTGTTTACTCACTAATAGTAAAATTAATATGAACCATTCCTTCTAAGCTCAACTTCTGAACAACATTAGTTGAAAGAAAGTTGGTAAAAGTGAAAGACATCTTATTGTCATCAATATTCTTCAAAATCCTCGGTATGATTTAGTAATACATATTGACAAAAACAAACTACAATAATGACATAATAAACCGATAAAATAAAGGATTGGAATATTGTAATTGAGTTCGTTTAATATAGAATTTGAATAATTTTTTTTGTTTTTGATAACAAAGAATATAAAAAAAAAAAAAAAAAAAATCTTATAAAAATATGTTTTATAGAGTGAGTCGAAATGTTTTAAAAAAACAATTTGTAAATACAATCTTAAAAACTAATATAAAATCAAAATATAATTAAAAGTCATTTTCACGGTTTTCTATATATAGTATTTAATCTAAAACGAAAATTTTGAAAATTATACCAAAAAAATTTTTGAATATTAAAATACAACTAAAAAACTTGACTGGTGTTTTAGGATTATAAATCGAAGTAACCCTAAT